AAAAAAAAAAAAAAAAAAAAAAAAAATCAATAAGTTATTACTATATCTTTAAGCGGGAACAAAAATCGTCATTTAAATAGAATATTAATTTTTAGCACGGCTGTATTAATGTGTTAAAAAAAATTATACCATATCAGAAAATCGTAAAACAACTAATTCTTTTATCGTAAAAAGAAACTCGCAACTGTTTTTCACGTCTGTAACAGACTTGTGTGTCGTTTAAATAAAAAATAATTAATCTGATAAAAATACATACCCACTTTAAATTTGTGTACCAGGTAATCAGTAGTCTGATCCCTATGGGATCCCAATCCTGGTGGGATCCCTATCCCTCTAAATCCCAATGCAATCCCGTTGGTCTTCTGACTCTGGTAGTATCCTGATCCCGGTAAATTTCAAATCTTGATTGTATACCGATCCCGATTTGTTCGTGGTCACGATTGGATACCAATCTCGGTGGGATGCCGATCCCGGTAGGATCGAGGTTCCTAATAGGATCTCATTTCCGTATGATAATACCCCGTTGGTGTTCCGATCCTGGTGTGATATTAACCCCGGTCGGATGGAGTTTCCCGGTGGGATTTTAGTCTCTTTAGGATGCCGATCCCGTTAGGATTCCGGTTTACAGATGAAATCCTCTTCTCTCGTTACCCGATTGGATGGCGTTACCGTTGTGTTCAATTTAATGCTGGATCTTATTAAAGTTACTGTACGCTTTTATATCCCTTTATATATCACGGTAGAACTAAATAGAAATTTCTGGAACATTCTAGATAAAATTTGAAAACCTCATTGAAACTTGTAAACAATATTTTTCTATGTAAATATTTTTTGAACTTGAAAAATTATACAACTAAATGCACTGCTACAGCAATAAAACTTTAAAGCAAAAAGGAGGGTGCCCTGTGGGGTGCCCACGTCCATAATTTTACCGAATCAGTCTTACCTGAGATGGGGACCCCATAAAAATCATTCAGATCAATTATGGTTTTAAAATTTAAAATTCGCTCGATTAACATCGGTTAAAATTGACATAGATACAGTTAGTTTTTTTTTAATCGATGCTTGTGGAAAATGCTAGATTGGATATTCTTAGCTTTAAATCCCCCGATATTTCAATACGAACAATGAAGTGTATTGCTACCACACTCGGCCATAGCCAACAATTAACATATAACCTATATTGTTGTCAAAGCCTATTGATATTTATATATCTTAAATATGGAAAAATGAAATGGGGCCAACGGCCCCGGAGACATTGATATTATTAGTTTAGTAACCTGCGGTATTTGAATATGGATTATCAAGAGTATGTGTACTAAGTGTGCTCAAGATTCATCCATTCGAGTAGGAGTATTTTTTGTTAATTTTATTTATATAACTTATAAAGGAAAAAACTACATGTTGGAAAAAAAACCAAAACACACATTTATATATATATATGCGTGTGATTTCTTGGGATTATAAAGATTTAATTAGTGTTAAAAGCTAGGGTAAAAGCGTACGCTTAAAGCGTACCCTCAAAGGTGACACAACTAGAGTGAATATAGTTTAAAGTCGCACTTTTGCAGAGCTTAACATTTCGTTGATCCTTGACCCCCTCCACAGATCAAAGTTCATCAGCACCCTCAATTTCCGCGCTACTTCCCGATGCAAATGATCGCCGATTTTGGTATCGTTTGATACATCGACTACAATTAGTGTCGCCATGTACGGCCATATATTTTTGCCGCCTTACCTTTCACGACAAAAACGCTGCAGTTTTCCGAAAATGCCAAACCTGGATATAAACAAAAAGAGTGACACCTGGCTGGACCACCCCATCCGATCTATTTCGACGCCACTAGCAGGGACCAGTCTACAGTGATTGGGCGTCAGGGGGCTAGATTCATTTTCACGCCCCACCCCAATTCCTCAAATCTGAAATTGATTATTTTTAACCATTAAATACCATCAACACTCATTTAGCTCACCCCTCTCTAGTCTGTCACCCCGTGACTTATGCCCCATCTGCCATCCTTTATCTAAGCCCCTTGCCAATGACAAGGAGCACAGCCCCCTCCCCCCCTCACCTCGAAAATTTGAAATGCCCGCCCCCCCCCACGGGAATAATGTATGTAAGAAATTGTTGATTGGACAAATATCATCTTAATCTGATTATGGATCATAATCTGAATTTATGAAAGTTGCATTTCTCAATTTTAAAAAAAAATCGTAAAACTTTGAAACTGAGAATATTTCTGTGCCTCAGGCAAGGCTAAAGCAAAC